AGCACTAAATAAACAATAACATGCATTTTGTATGATCCCTCTTATTTTGGTAAAATAATAAACATTTTGCAGATTCTGAAAGGGGGATGTAAACTTTTGAGCTCAACTGTATGGCCTCTGTCAACACATGCAATGACGTATCTGCAGTGCTGCTTTATGACAATGTCTGTTATTAAAAGTGCCATATAAATAAAATTGAATTAAATTGAATTGAATATCTATCTGTTTTTTTTAACTAGTATTAATATGCATAGACAAAATTTAAAGCACAGATCTAGCTAAATATCAGCAAAGGCTCTGAATAATCTGCTGACATTTTATATCTGATGTCAATAAATTAGGAAAAAAAAAACCTCAACCTTGAACACTGAGGTTTACATTTGTCATAGTAAAAATAAAGTACTGATTATTTAATCTAACATTGCCAGTATATTATACACAAAGGTTTCCTTTTCCAAAATCATCTTTATAGCTGATGAATAAAACACTTTAAAATGCACTGTTGTAGGAAAATAATCAACACTGGGGTGGTGTGATGTGGCCCATTATTCCTCTTATACCACAGGGATTTGCCATCAATTACAATTCTTTGATTTACTGATGAATGAAAATAATGTTGTGGAACATCTCCCAAACAATTTAGTTCCTGTTATTACTTACATTATCTTATATTATATGTATAAACAGTCGTTCTGTTACTGAGAAACTGCAAAATATCATGTCCACTGTCTGAAGACTTTCCCACAGTGGAAAACTTTTACAGTTACAGGTGAAGTTACAGCTTTACCTCTGACTGTTATAATGTGCTGACACTGGAGACTCCTTCCATTGTTGTTGTTGTTCTTCTTTCGGTTGCTCCTGTTAGGGGTCGCTACAGCAGATCATTGGTCTGCATTTGATTTAGCACAGTTTTTACGCCCTTCCTGACACAACCCTCCCCATTTTTATCCAGGCTTGGCACTGGCACTGAGAGCGCACTGTTGCACGCAGCCCCAGCGGCTGGGGTATCGAACCCGGGCCATCGAACCCGGGCCACAGCAATGAGAGTGCTGTGGCCTAACCACTAGTCCTCCAGGGACCCAGAGACTCCTTCCATTAATGTTAAATAAGCATCTCCTTACAGTAAACTTCACTATATCAATGATTATACATTTTCCTTTGTTAAATAACAACACATTTTGAAATCTTTCAAGATGATGTGGCGCATTTGCCCTTACAAATATAGATTGTAATAACGCAAATGGTAGGCTGTTAATTAACACAACATTTTTTCAAGTAGCAGGAAAAACTGTGTACTGTATGTGCAGAAACAGCACTGACCACTAGCTGACCTTTCTCCTTGCCAGTCCCTTTCCAGATGGAGGGCTTTCTCACAGGAATGTGACAAATATACGAGGGAAGCAGGTGGAAAAAACAGATCTTGTTGGCACGGGCACTTGACTGTTGTAATTGTTGAAGCTACTGAACCTTGGCTTCTGATCATTGCTGGGGACAGGTGTGGAGGAGATAAGAGAACACCATGCCTCCACCTCATCACCACAAATGATAAGCACACCGTCTGCCCAGTGCTGCCATATCCCAAAACACGAGGATGACTGTTCTCCTATGGAATATGATTGGTGCTCACAGATTGCAATGTAGGCTGTAACAAGGCTTACAGATGGCCAGTTAGAGCAAAAAGAGGTAAAGCATCAGAACAATGTGGAGATGTGTGGCCCCATTATTCTGAGATGGCATACACAGATGGCACGCACAGTATGTTTTATGTTGCAACACTGCCTCGGGTTTTTCTGTGCATATGATAAAGCCGTCTTCATTGGCTCACTCGCCGGATGCTGGATATTGTTTAGTATTTTGGCACTCACACAAAGGGAGACAGAATAAAATCTTCTGTCCTCTCACTGATGAGTGATGAGGTAGTCTCATCAGGCTTGAGCCCATCAAAATATCTCGACAATCAGATCTTTGCTGCGTTTTATTTCCAACACCAGAGAACATGTCATATTTAATTTGCAGTTCGGAGCACATCACTCTCGTCCTGTGCGGATCCTTTGTTTCCTTCTTGCCGAATGATTTTGCCTTTTGTTCAGGCGAGAACATCATTGAGAGTGATCTAGTCAATCTGTAATTACCTTCCTTTGTTCAGCCACACCAGTAGCCTGTTATTTAGCATCACTTATACCGCCTGCACGTTTTAGCTCTCAGATGGCAGGATGTCCATCACTGAGGAAAAAGAAAGAAATGTGAGTTTTTAAATATTCATGACATCACAGCATTTTTTATATATAAGAAGTGATTATACGATCCATTTAGATTTGTGTTTTACTTTGTTGTTTATTTTATTGTTCAGACAAACAAGTTGTTACATACAAAAATAATAAGGTAGTACAATTTGAGAAATGCTTGTATTTATTGTCTTTATTCATGAGACGTACTTCTACTTAAATAATTTTCCTTCCCCACACATTTTAACATATTGCCTTCGAACACATTTTGAATATATTTACTGACAAGAGATGGAGTGATTTTTTTTGGTTGTAATGTTTCATTTGGTCTGTGCTTGAACTTATGTGCTTATTATGCTCATACCTTTTTCTGCAGTCAGCAGGCACACACACTTGAAATGAGGCAATTTAAACATACAAGTGAAAGTGAATTCTCATCTTTAATAGAAAAGAAAAGAAAAAAAACAGTTTTGCTGAAGTATGAAATCATTTCCATTTTGCTAGTGAAAGCAGTAAACAAAAGCTTGCAGAATTAATACACCTGAATGGTCAGAACATCTCTTTTAATTAATGGAGATTGACAAGGGTCACCGTAAAGATTTGTTATAAGAGAGATCCCACTTAAGAGAGAAATTAACTACGTACACTTGGGCCTTGTGTTACAGTTTTTCCTAATTACTCACACACACTTCTGGAAACATTGTCTCAGTGTCTCGAAGGCTTTAACACATTTTTCTGTATATATACTTTCCACACATTTTGCAAATCCTGTGTATAATAAAACATTAGCTCCAATACCATGAGCACCTCCTAAAAAACAAACATTTCCTTCAAATTACCACACACTCGTTACATAAAATTCCACAATAAACCCCAGTTTTCATGCTGATTAATTAAGAACATGTCCATCTCAGTGTGTGGTGTGTGTGTGTTCTTGTCAGTGTTTTATACATCAATTAGAAAATTGCAAAGAAATGCAATACATTAGTTACTGAAATAGTTATTTGTTTTGTACGTTTAGTGTTTGCAGGTGGAAAAAGCTGTATGGATGGATAAATGGATGGATGGACTGATGGGTGTATTAATGAAAATGAATAACAGCAGGCAAAAAAAAATAATATTTGTGCCTTAAAAGTTTTTATACGTAATTAATATAATACATTTTTACAAAATCTAAGTTTATGCCCTTGAAGCATTTATTTATTAATTTAGTTAATTACTTAGTTAGTTAATTAGTTGGTTTGCTGGTTGTTTGGTCGGTTGATGTTACACACTGTAACTAAATAAACACACCCAGTAATCAACTCCTTATAATAACCTCAAGTCCAAGAATCATCACATGGTAGTTCTTCACAAATATATAAATGAAATGTATTTTGCATTGCTGGTGCACTACTTTTGCAAAACTCTGCACACCCCTAGCGTGGTTCTTTCTGTGAACATGCAGGTTTCAGCGATCAAAAGTCATGAAAAAAAAACAACACAAACAGAAACACGTGTAAACACAACTCACAACAATTCTCTTTACATTGTCAATTATTTAAAATCACTCATTGCCTCAGGGAAATGAAAAACAATGAAGCAAACGAGACCTTAGAGAGGAGGAGGCTGACGAAAATAAAGTAATATTTCTAATGAGCTAATCCTTCCTTGTTGATCACATCAATCAGGGCTTGAGGAGGAGCTAGGAGGTCCAGAAACATTTGAGCCATTACACTGAAGCTGGAATCTGCAACCGCAAGCATTCATTCATCTTCATTAACTGCTTTATCCTGACCAGAGTCTGAATATGCAGTGGAAAACACTGGGGAAAGAGTGGCGAGGAGAAGAGATGTCAGAATAAGAGGAGGTACAGGAAGAAGATAAATGGTAGAAGAAAAGAGAGGAGGAGTGAAAGAGGTAGAAGAAATGATGATGAAAATATGCAGAGGACAGGCAGTAGGAAGAGTATCAAAGAGAAAATGGGGAAATGAGGAAGAAAATGGAGTAACACCCATGGCAAGGCCATGATCTGTAATGGCATCTTCTGCGGGGCAGAGGGGCCGGGGGACGTCCTCCGCCGAGCAAGGAGGCAGAGCGACATTCGAAGTGGGGCAGAGAGGGTGGGAGATGGCTTTAGTTGGGTCGGTAGCCCCCCTCCTAAGTGGCTCTAACACAACTTCCCTCCCCCTGTTGCTCCCACAGCAGGCGGTTCCTCTCCAGGAGGGCTTCCTGGACAGTGAAAAAATCAGCTGCATCCATGAATTTGGTCAAGCTTTGTCAAGGATTTTGTAGAGGCAGCGATTATTGCAGAAGGTGCAACATAAACACCCAAAACAGTGAAAACAAGAACTATAAACAAAAACAGGCCGTGGACCACACAACAACACATATGCACAACGAGAGAAAAAAAAAAAAAAAAAAAAAAACTTTGCAAAAAAACACACAGAAACCAGAACTTAAATAGGGGTGCTTATTAGGGGTAACACAGAACAGGTTTGAGTGATCAGTGGGACATGTGACATGGTCATGTGACATGCTGGGGCTGATGGCTAATGTAGTTCAGTGCCGATTGATTGATTATGTCATGAATCTACACAATTGTATTAATACTGATGGTAGATAGTTACACCAAAACTAATTTAGGGGTTTCAAAGCAACAGGGATATATACTTATGCAATCAAAACATTTACATTTTTTAATTTGTAAATAATTTTGCAAATTATATTGATATTTCCTTTCACGAAACACCTGCACTGTCATCATGGAAAAATGATTTATATGATCCTTACGTGTTTTTTTTGTTTTTTTTTTAACTGAAAGCATTTAAATCAATTACCAATAATTTGACATATATGTCAGCAGCATTTGGCTTACTTACTATCTGGGAAACAACATACATAATGAATTGAAAGCTAATATTTGCTAATTTAGTCTTACTACAGTAAGGGTTTGTAGGGTGCTAAGAGTTAAGTCACAAGATACGTGCAAATATTATCATTATTATAATAACTCAAAATAATGACATAATATCTTGAAATAATAAGTTATTCATACAAAATGACACAGCACTTCAACTTTTGTTTTGATGGCTTGTGGTTCAGAACCTTTCTAAGTTTCAAGTTGTAACACTGCAAAATTTGGAAAAGTTCAAGGGAGAAAATGCACTAAATAAAATGCTCATTGAATTGACTTAATTCAAATGCGTACATCACTTCCACGTCATCAAATTGAGTTACATTAACACAATTTGTTTTGGTACAGCCAACATGACTTGATCATGTATTTTCAAAACCCTGAATAAAATCAAACTCCACACTTTCACCTGAACAGTGGATCAAACCCAGGGACTGGTGTTTTGCCACAGCCACATTACCACTGCTCTTTTCTACTACACGTTTTAACCGCATTAATTTTCTTCTATAGTTATAGTTCCCATCGGTGCCAACATCCTTGCAAGATTTCATAATGTAATTGGTTTACGTTAATACTACATGAATTGATCACGCCCACTCTACAACTCTAAAAACTTGTTTAAACTAAGTTTAGTATAAGCAATGAAATCATGTTTTGATGAGAAATGTAATATTTTATGTAAACTATGCATTATATTTTCTCTTAATTCTGACCGACCACATATTCTATTTTTTTTTCAGTGTACCTGGCACTGCTAGGCACTGTATTATACTGTCTTAGATACTCAGGTCTCTGCCTCTTCATATTATATCGACTATAGAACATTGCATTTTGAACATTGCTATAGAATATTGCACTGTGTCCTGGTGAGCTCAGTGGGTTTCCACTAGTTTGTTCCCTAAAACATGGAACGAGAGTTTATCCTGAAATTTAGGTTTAGAGCTGGAGCACA